CAGTGCTCTCTTCTGTGAGTACAAACAGCATCCAACTATTTCAATACATTAATGAGTATCTGGTTGTCAATGTGAAATTGAGATAGGAAAATACTGTTCTTCTACAGCAAATACAGTATTTAATAGTGCAACTGGAATGCTATGTTTGACTAAAAATACAAGAAAGCAACAATCTACAGACTTAAAACTTCAGTTTTACCTGTATCTGCAACATTTCTCATTGTATGTTTGAAAGCCCAAATAATAGAATCCAAAACAAGTTTGAACTGTGCAGGTGGAATGGCCAGGAATGCTGGGAAGCAATGAGAATTTACAGCCTGGAGTAGCAAGAAAAAGTTTGTTCTATGTTCAGGATATTCTTCAAAGTCCTGAGAGCCAGGGGCAGGGAAAAAGAGGAGAGAAAAAAAAATAGCACAGTCAGCAAAGCTTACTGAATAGCTTAGAGATCCACCATAATATCTTCTGCAAAGAAGAGTGAGTCAATAGCCAATATGGAATGGCATTCACATCTCAAGTTTGAAGAAATGTGAACGCAAAACAGAATTTGCAGTTCCCAGTTTCCTAGTAAATTTTTTCCCCATACTTTTACTACCAAAGCTTAGTAAGACCATTTTCTACAGTTCACAGTATCTACAGGCTGGCCCACATTTTGTCAGTATGGCAACTTCAGTTACTACTTGCTCTACAGACACAAGACACATGGCCTCAGCATTAAGCACCTAGCACTACTGCAAAATGACCCTAACCTAGCCAGTATTATGCAACTACTTACTGTAACTTCTAGCACAGAAACTCTATCAGCTATGGAATTCAGCAAAGTAAAGAAATATTCACAGAACACAATTTATGAATACGAGTATTGATAACTATATATGAATTCTAGTCATTCACCCTACGCTGAAGTCTACTTAAAAGTATTCTTCAGCTTCCAGAACCGTGACATTCCAAGGTCTTGGAACAGAAAATCAACTAATCATTTAATTTCAGAACTGTATTAAGAAATCAAATCAATGAGATTAAGACATTCACCTGAACAGCCAGAATTCATGAACCTCAATTAAATTTCCATAAAACAGAAGCCATGTAATGACACTATGTTAACTACATACTGCCCCCTTTCTTGCAATACCCAAAGACGAGTACTGTTAATATAAACTCCCCTTTTTTCCCCCGCTTTATCCAAAATTTACATATAATACCTTATTGATCATATTTAATGTGCACTCAAAAACAGCATCAAATATCTGAGGTATTTCAGCAGTAATGTGTCCACCCAGCTTGTTTACAATGATAGCCATAGTACTAAGTACTTCAGGTTCTCTAGCAGCTGGAACATTTCTCTGGTAGTCAATGAGAACTGCATCCAACAAAGGAGGAACAAAGTTTTCAGCAACCTAAATAAAACAGCAAGACTCTGTTATAGCAGCGCAGTTACTGAACAAAGTCTCAAGCAATTACAAGGTAGTTCTGAAAGAAGCTAAAAATACGTAGCAGAAACAGACCTGGGGGTACTGGCTATATCTGGGCTGAACATGAGCCAGCAGTGTGGCCAAGAAGGCCAATGGCATCCTGGCTAGTTTCACTAATAGTGTTGCCAGCAGGACCAAGGAAGAGATCATTCCTCTACATTCTGCTCTGGTGAGACTGCACCTCGACTAGCATGTTCAAGTTTTGGGCCCCTCACTACAAGAAAGATATCGAGGCCCTGGAGAATGTCCAGAAAAGGGCAGTGGAGCTGGTGAGGGGTCTGGAGCACAAGCCTTATGAGGAGCGGCTGAGGGAGCTGCGATTGTTAAGACCACAGGACATTCAAAGGAGACCTTATTGCTCTCTGTAACTACTCTGAAGGGAGGTTGTAGTGAGCAGGATTTGGTCTCCTGCATAATTAGCGACATGACTACAGGGAATGGCCTCAAGTTGTGCCTGGGGAGATGCAGGCTGGATGTCAGGAAATACTACTTCTCCAAAGAAGTGATAAGGAACTGGAATGGGGTGCCTAGGGAGGTGGTGCAACCACCAACCCTGGAAGCATTCAAGGAACTTTTAGATGTTGTGTTGAGTGACGTGGTTTAGTGAGAACTACTGGTGATAGGTGGATGGTTGGACTGGATGATCGTGTAGCTCCTTTCCAACTTTGGTGATTCTATGATGATATATTACACATCCATATACTTCCCACCCACTGTACTCATCCAGCAGTGATTGCCTGAGGACTCTCATACAACTTCTTACTTCCCCTTTGGATTCCTCTCAGCTGAAACTAACTGAAGCAATCAAAATACAGCTCAGGCCTACCCTCCGTACGATCACACCTTATCCTTCCTTCAGATATTGCAGTTCTGAAAACAGTTCCTGTGAACAGAACAGTATTGACTGCTCTTCAGAAAAAGAGCAGAGCTGTTCCTGATTTTGTTGTATGAACTATTTCTGCAAAATAAATTTACTTACCATCTGAGGATCATTGGACCTGCTCACCCAGCCAGAAATCAGTTTTAAAGTTTCCCTTTTTACAGTCCTCATACTTCTAATCAAGGGCTGCTTTGTTACCATTTCACCTGAAAAGTTGTAAAGCTTCACTTAATCTAGGTAAGATGTGCCAACAAGCAGACTCACTTAAATCGGTTCCACAAAGTTCAGAATGTTTCATTTTTATATCCAAGTGACAAAGAAAGAAGACTTTTCATTCATATTATGCAGATAAAAACTAGCTCCCCATTATTTCAGCTCCATAGGTCCAAGTTGCAATTTGGTATTACAATACTACCAGTGACAGTACACTGCCTGCACAGCTCAAAACAGCTCAAAAACAAAGCTGCAACTTACTTTTCAAGTAAGGGAATCATGCATGTTCATTTAACTATTTGGATGAAGCTTACCTCTAGCTCTCACTAAGTGATGAGAGGACATCAACTTACACAGTGTTTTAAAGCAAGCTCCTGATTTTGTCACAGACAAACCTAATCATTCAACTGTTCTTTATTACAAGGAGCCTAATTTTTACTTCATTTTCTTACATCCATATCAATGTAAACCTCATCAGTAAAACCTGCTCTAATTGAGTGCATAGCCACACAATCATAACAGTATATCCAAGGAAAGCCCTGGAAGACTGCAGCCAGGGAAACAAGGGTAGAATTGCTTCTGCAGGCATGAGATAACCAGTTGTGAGAACATACTCTGAGGCAAGTGCAATATAAATAGCTCTTGTCTAGTGAAATATCAGGACCAGAAGTCCTAGCAACTGCTTCCTATTTTGGCTGTTGTTGTATTGGTTTTTTTTGTTTTGTTTTAAATAAGAATGAGTTCTGGCAATTAGAGCTGCAGAATTAAGAAATGTATCAATTTTACAGCTAGTTATATTCTGAACTCTCAGAAGCTACTTCAAGGTCAACCAGTTGTTCAGTGGTTAAGTCTTAACATTCACACATATGATTATTTTCATAGAAAATCTGTCTTAAGACAGATCCAATAATCAATTCATTTCATCTTGTCAAGAACTACTACAGCAGCACTTTCTACTTAGATATCAGATTCTAATTTATCCAGTAAAAATTGGTTAGATAACTTAGGTAACTCTTAATTCCTTCTCAGCGATTATCAGTCTAGCTTATGACATATTTGAGGCACCTTCACTGAAGTTACACTTCTGCAATAAAGCTTTTTCAGTAACACGATATCATCAAACCAAAACTCTGCCAAAATACTAGGGTCTTTTCTTATTCAAAAAGAGAGTAAGTCAAAAGAATGCAGGCCACAACTTCATCTCTGCAAGACCGCTACTGGTCAACAGTCTCTTGCATCATTCCTAAACTCATGCTTATAGCTTCCCTCCTTCCAGAATCAAGAGTTTCTTTGAATAAAACATTTAACTGGTTAACATAATAATCTAAGCAAGCACATTTTCAGTCATTCTCTTGCCCGAACACATGCACAGAGAAACAACAAAAAACACCACCAATGTACACACAATAAGATAAGCCCAGTTGTAACAAATGTGAAACCTGATGACATGCACTGCCAATCTCATTATGAAAAATATAGAATATCTTACCATTAGCCTGAATAGCTGCAGAAATATTTTCACTTAGGCACTTGTATACATTCAGCATATCTAAATAAATTCTTCCAAGCTGAATCACAAAGGGGTGGCCAACTGCTTTACACGCTCTTACATTGGTTTTCAGAATGCTACCAAGCTGCTTAACTGTTTCAGGATCCTTCAGAATATCAACATTCTGTTGAAAAAAAATGAGTTAATTCCTTTCAGTTAATAAAAATGCCATTTATCTTCTAGTACAAAAATGGTCACTTTCAAGAATTTATCTTATACACTGTTAAGGAATGTTCTGTAAAATTCTTTAAACTGGATTTAAACCACTCAAGTCATTTCAGTCTTCTCTCTCCAAACAATGCTTTTACTGTCACATCAATCATTGCTTTAGCTAGGTTCACCCCAGATAGTTCACCTAATTTCAGGGGTAAAAACAAGCAAACAACAAGAACAAACATTCAACAGCTTTATTTTAAAAACACTTCTAATTTATGGTCTTACTTTTGTTGCCTGTTGAATTATGCTATCCCATACTTGATTGGGGAGCAACATATATTTTTCTATCAGATGCTCCTGTACAGTCTGGTCTGTTTGTGCCCCAATCATGTATCCTACTGCTTCATAGAAAGTATGCACCTGATTGAAAAAACAAGAAGTCAAACAGAAAGGTTAAGGAAGAGCAACCAGAAGTTTACAATGTTCAAAACTAGCAGATAGTAAAAGCTGAAAATGGGTTTCCAGTGACTAAATACATACTTTCCATTTCAGTTTACAAGATCTTTCTTCACTCTTCCCTTACTTACACCACATTTAAAACAACCCTCCATTCCCTTCCAATACTACTATGTACATCTCAGAGACTTCCTTTGTTTTACCACCACATCCTGAAGCAAGCAATTTCAGGCATACACTTTCTCTTACAATACAGCTCCATTTATACCTTTTACAGAACTTTGGGCTAAATCAAGTGCAAGAAAATCACAAGTTGGAACTTAATACCTCCTCTGCCCAAGGTTTCCATGTCATTGCAATGCATCAGCCTATGCTGTGCACGCACTACACTGTCAGAGCACATCCTCCCTGCAAGTATTCTCTTGCCCCGCACATGCAAGACCTGTAAGTATCCTACCACAGTAGAATATCCTTCTTTGCTTATCAAAACCTCAAAATCAGATCTACTATGTCATTTATTCATAAAAGCATTCTAGTAAAGAATTTCAACTTAGCACACTTTAATTCTCCTTCCAAGAATTCCAATTAGGACCTTAATAACTCTGACCATACTATTCGTAATGTGACACTCCCACTTACACTTACACACTACGACTAAGAGACACAATTCAAGCCTTAAAGACTACTACCAGGAAGAAGTTGCGACATAACAAACATTGGTCTTCACAAATTTACTCACACTTATCAATTAAACGTACCTGTTGTGGCTGGAGGTCACAGATGATTGTATTTATATTGTTCAAGATTTCATCAATGAAAGGCATTACTTCTCCCACTTGAACCTGAACAAAATGTCGGCGGCACTTTTGTGCTATTTTTATGAAGGTATCACAAGCCATATCCTGAACACCATCATGGGTTTCTAAATTAAATCAGATCAGTTACTATTTTGTATTTTTCCCCAGACATGCACATGTACAGAGCATCAATTTTTTTTCTTTAAGATTAAAGTTAGAACAGTAAGTGAAAGAGATAATTACCATGCATAAACTCAAATAGCTTGTTGACTACTGTCTTCAAAAACTTCCAGTGAGCTCTCAAAAAACGTGGGTATTGGCCTACTATGTACATTATATTTGATGCAATAATGGCTTTGTTGTCTTTTCCTCTCTTTTGTTCACAGAGCCCTAGGAGATCCTACAATATAACAAATTATTAGTTTCCTCCCCAAGTTCGTAGACTAGAAGAGCAGTATAAAGGCTAAAATAAGCAATAATAATGATACAGTAAAGTAGTTGCTATTATTAAACTCAAAACCAAAATAAACAAACAAAAAATAAACAAACAAAAAAAACCTACAAACCAACAACCCTAGTTAAGGATCAGGATAATTTCTTAAGTTTCAGCCAACCCTAGAACACCACATTTTCAGTCATACGTTTTAGATATAATTAATAATTTATACAGGGCAGACTACAGCAACCCTTAGTGCTGAGTACTGACCAGCCAGATGATACTGATAAAGATACAGCAAGTATGGGAAACTAAATCCTTTCTGCAGGATTTTTGTGATGTAATATTGATGCATAATTACTCCGGTACATAATATTTTCTTCCTGTACTCTTTCCACACACACATTTACTTAAAATGAAGTGGCAGAAGAGAAGGATGCTAGTTGGTTGAAAACAATGCACATTACTTTGCTTCATTAGTGCTCTTACTTCATTACTGCTTCCTTTCCATATCTTCTGCATTCCTAAAGCAAAATATTTTATCGTAAGCCAAATGTTCTCTCCAGAATTTTTACAGTGAAGAGGCTATTTGGATTCATGTATTTTTCATGACTGAGGAATTCATCAGCCTAACATTCAGGATATGACATTTCCCAAATTATTCCCATCAACTTGTTTGCTGTACAAGGTAGCTTTCTGAAGAATGTAGAGAAGTGTCTTTTTAAGCTCAATTTCTTGAGTGTAAACTATGAAGTGTGACAAAGCTGTTAGTCTTATACCATGATACCTTAATTACTGTAACAAGGAATCTTTTTTCATCTTCTTCATGCATTGCTCCACTGATTGAGCCAATAGCCCAACAGAGAGTATTCAAATTTTTCCATGACCATTCTGTCCCATTCACTTGATTATGAAGTTTTTCAGTCATTATTCGTTCTGTGTCTGCATAATCCAGATGTGTAAGATACACTGAAAGACAATTAACAGTAACAGGCACATCTTTAAGCAACAAACTGGATCACATCTCTTTGAAGTTAATTTCTTCTAAGAAAAAGACAAAATCAAAATGCTAAGTGCAATAGTTCTTTCGTGAATTTGTGACAGAACAAGCTAACGATTTAAACCCAGAACTGCTAGAGTTGTATTTAATGACATGGGAGAGAAATATTTTGTCTGTCAGTCCCATCAGTAAAGCTACTAAGTTAAATTATTAATAAAATGCATACATACTCCTAAGCCATAGGAAATATGAGACAGGCTAGCTCTGAGGGACGTTTATACAGCATTTATCAAATCAGTCCATAATTTTCCTCTGTTTGTTATTTCAGTGTCATTATATCTGTTGGTTTTAATAACCTACCATTAAAATGGAGATGGTACTCCTGAACTAGTCTAGGTGAAAAGATTCAGCTTTTTCAACTCAGACCATTCTATCAGCCCCTAAAATGATTAGGCTCTCTAACATAAGTAAAATTCAAAATCCTGCCAAGTTGGGGGAAAAAAAAAAAAAAAAAAAAAAAAAAAAAAAAAGCATAAAGGTCAGATTTAGCAATGGATTTTTACAGCGCCACTTTCTCTGCACTCTTGCTTTTTTAAGAGGTGAATCTTCTATTACAATAACACACTAAGCAATAACAAACACCAGAATTCAAACGAAGACTGTACACCTGTATCTGGAAACATTACTGAAGATGAGAATATACTGTAGTAATTTCAATACAATAAATAGAAGTTTTGATATTAAAAAAACATACTAGAACAATAAAACTACCGTTAAGTATACTTACTTCACAAGAACAGCAGTGAGAATAAAAAAAACAAATTCATAAAGTTGCTAATGAACACTCAGTGCACCCCTCTGGTGTTTCCATTTAACAGAAAAATGTTATTATTGAAGTCTAATGACCTGACCTTAAATATGTGATGACTCTGTTTCAAACTTAACTTCTCCCCTGCCCTCATATAACTGTGCTGCATACATGCTATTGGTGAAGTTGCACAGATCTACAGGACAACTACAGGACAATAGCCACTGCACTTACCCAATGTTTCTCTCATATTTTTATATAAGTTTATGGAATCTGTATCCTTCATGAATTCACGTACTACTTCCCCTTGATCATTTTCCACCACTAGCACTTCTTCAGGTTTAGCCATACGGCTAACCATTAGCAATCGAACCTGTACATTACAAAGGAAAGTTTCAGTTGAATTGCACTGTAACACGAAAATAAAGAGCACGTCCAGCATTTCCTCACGTCAGGTCACATACAAGCAAATGAGAAGGAATATTCTGAAGAGACACGCTAACTAAAAAGCCATTAAGAGTAGAGCTGATTTCCATCTCTAAGAGTTCCTTAAACAAGTACTATACATTCTAGAGTTTCAAAAGATGTATGTATTAAAGACCTTTCAAATACATTTTTTAAACACTTTTTTTTTTTTTCCTCCAGCACATGCAGCTTTTGTTTTCATCACAGCCCTCGTACAAACAATTCATTAACAATACATTGCTTTTAAAACTATAATAAATTGTCTTGGTTTTGAGATCTCATTCTTAAGTAAAAAACACAGCTCCGCCACACTAAGAAACTGAACAAAAACATCAAGTTGTCCTCCTTCTCTAGGCAGAAGTTAGCTATGTTTTCATGAACCCCACACCAAGATCCATGCTGGAAACCACTAATTACAGAAATTGTTAGCATGATTTAGCAAATCCTACATAGCAATTGTATTACGAAGTTAAAACAAAGCTGCTGAGGTGATAACATGGAAGAAAACAGGGTTGGTGTATTTAAATAAACTGTACATACATATATTCTCTCTTACTTTATTATACACAGTATCAAAGGAGCACACTATTAATAGTTCTATCATCTACTGGTGCTATCTTGTAAGTTCAGCAATTTCAGCACATTAAATAACTACAGATGAATCAGCTATTACTCAAAGCAAGGAAAGTTTTCTGAAGTCATCCCTTACATACAGTGAAGTCTCTGCATTTAGGAAAAGCGTCTAAACTTGCATATTATTTTCACTTAAGCATTGATTACCTTGGATAATACAGGCAAATAAAGCTGTCTCCTTGGAGGAACATCAAAGTGTTGACTTCCAGAAAGCAATGGAGAAGCAGATGTTGAGAATGGACTTTCCCTGTAGAGCTCAGCAGCTAAATGATTCCAATATTCAAGACAAATCTTGAAAATTTCAGTTTCTTCTACTTCTGATACCAACAACATATAATGAAGAGCCTGGAAAAGTGTTTTTTAAGCATCTATTTACCAATTATTTTTGAACACAGAAGTAAATTGAAACTGTATTCCTTCAAATTTTGTTATCCTGATACTGATAAAAATACTGAATTAGTGTAAAATTTACTAACAAGTAATACTGCAGTGGCATTTACTAGTCAAAGTTATCACCAGTGGAGCAGCTGAAAAGAACACAGCACCATGTCAGTTCATGTTATTTTGAAAGCGTGGATCAGTTCTTACACACAGAATAGCCTAAAGATATCTTAAAAAAAAAAAAAAAAAAAAAAAAAAAAAGCAATAGCCAAATTACTCCCTCACTGTATTATCAAAATCGCATCCTCTAAGCTTCTGCAAGACCTCTTTCTTTAGACCCTCAAAAAAAACCCCTTAGCTGCTCACTTTAAGGACTGCTATTCTCCATACTGACTGCTACTCTCTTCTGCAAATTCTCTGGGAATGTGGAAGAAAAACTTCAAAACCACACCGCTTATCTGCATTTAGTGCAAGACATCTACTAAGACATCTTCCTTTATTAACTGAACAGCCACTATGAAGACTGAGTGCAGCTCTGAGACTGATACCAAATACAGAGGCCATTTCTACATAGTCAAAAATTATTTAGCTATCTTATTTTAAAATCCCTAGTGAAAAGTGTTGAACAACAGCCTATCAGTGAATTAAACAGAAGGGAGCAATGAAAACAAACTTCATTTTTGCAGCTCAGACACTAAGCCATCCGAAGTATTTTAGGCGGAGAAGTCTGATTTGACATCTTTCTCTATAACACTGAAAGCGGGATTCAAAAACAACTCACATTATTCCTATGCACATCCATTTTGATCGGCAATTTCACTTTTAAATAACTAGCTTCTTTCACTACTCTAGATGACTCCAATGAATCCATGAAGCAATTTCAGAAGATCAGCTAAGTCCAATGTGGGAACATCCAGATTAAAATTACATAGCTACCTTAAGGCTTTCTTCTCCCCACTACGTTCTGTTATACTGTAAGTTACAACAGTGAAACTTGCAGCAATTTTAAGCCACTCTAAAAATTTTGTGGAACATTTCAATATCCTGTAGAAGACCCAAAGTCATTCAGAATTGAGTTTTGCAGAAGTCCATTTAAATGTCAATTTTAACTATTCAACAATTTAATATAGTCGTGCTGGACAAGACAGGAGGCAAGACTTAATGACTGCACTCCAACTTACATGACATTCAACTTCATACTCTTAATAATGTCTCAACATGGTTTGAAACTTGATCTCTTCCTTGATTGACAGTTATTTTGCAAAAGTTCACTAATTTTGAGGTAAAGAATTACTTGTGGATTGCTGAAAGGTTTTTGTTTGCTTTCTGCTTGGTTGTCTTTAAATAGAGCAAGAAACAATCAATTAATCTATTTTCTAAGTGAGCTACAGTTTGCTATTTGCAGACAACTTATATATATAGGTTTGTTTGTTTTTTCCTGGCAGAGAGCTGCCCAGAGAAGAAAAGTACTGCAAATATCAGATGGAAAAGACTAGAGTTCAGATATCTTACAAGCATTGCACTGACAAGATGGACCCACAAAATAAAACTGGTCTCCAGGTTTATACTGTGGTTTTGAGTTTTTTTGAGTCTGTCTCAGGATAGTTCCTCAACCTACAGACTCCATACCTGCAGAGGGCTCAACTCTGGGACATCACAAAGGCTGCTGCAAGGGCCTACAGAGACAGTTTAATCCCATGGGAGCTCAGGGGTGGGAGAGAGCTAATAGAAATGTCAGCAAAGAACAGCTCACTCTCAGCAAGTCAATACAGGTCTCCCAGCAAGATCCCTTAATACTATATAAAGCATGTTTGTTAACTAGCACTCTGTAGAGCTCCAGCATTAAAGGCTATGCTTGTGACACAGAAACTAAGCACAGACCACAAGGACAATATTCTAGACATTTGGGAAATGACATCTTAGGCAAGAAGTTACACCAGGACAGAAAAGCTGGAGAATGGCATTTGCTATCCTAGTATCCTAGACGCCAAGCCTGGATGTTGAATAAAAACAAAGTACACCATTTCACACACAAACTGACAGAACTCACAGCAGCAACCACCCGCATGAATGAGTTAAACAAAAATAATGAGTTTTGATACCCTTGGAAAAAGGTTACGATATTTCTTTGAATGCATTTTAGAGCAGTATTTACACTTCAGAGAAGAGACAAGTAAGAAGAAAGAGAGAAAAGCACATTCTGCACATTTTGTTTTTTGTTTTGTTTTGTTTTAAGGGTAACACCACTGAAAATAAATTGCTACTGAAGCACACTTGGAAAGTCTGAAAGGTTTCTTGTGTTCACATCATTTACTGATTACATTTACTGATTATGGGGAAAAAAAATCTTCTAACCAATATAAGCACAACAGTCTAGAGGTCATATTAGTATGTTATTCGAGAACAAGAAACCTCTACTTTTGAACTGGATAAACGATGCAACTTACCTCCATTAATGTTTCTCTCAGATTTAATCTTTTTTCTATAAGTTGACCATGTTCCTTCAGAAACGTGCAGAGAAACAAACTGAGATTCTGAATGAAGTTCTGTTCATCATCTTTTCCATTTGAGTACGCAAGTCGGATATTAGTATTTAAAGGAAGCATCTAACAAAAGGAAGGCAAACACAACCAATGTCCTACCATGCAAGTAGAACTACTGCATACTAGCATATTATCAATCACATTGCTTTTTTATTGTTGTTATTGTCTCCGAGCTGGACAGTACAAAAGAGTACACAGACACTGAAGTTCTGATCAACAAAAGCTTTCCCTAGCACTTTTAAACAGGAAAGACAAAAGAAGCAGCTACCCTATCTCAAGACATTTTTGACTGGTATCAAGCAAAACTGTTCCGAAAGTGTCTTTATTACCTGTACCTTGTAACATGGCAGTCATAGTATTAAAACAGTATGAAAGATCTCCCTCACAATGTTTATAAGTTAGTAAAAACGACCTACAAAAATACAAATATTTTTCAGTAATCTACCAAAGATCTCAGTGGTACTGTCTGAAGTAGTACACCAACTTTCAAATTCTACTGTTATAAAACAGAAGAATTTTCAGTGGTTGTCCAGCTTCTTTAATGCCAATACTGTTACACCCAATTCAGCACTCAACTGTTACTTTAAGTAAAAGCTCTGGCTGAAAGTATTTGCATTCACAATCAAGAGCATCATCTGTAGAATCACAGCATTGTAGGGATTGGAAGGGACCTCCAGAGATCATCAAGTCCAAACCCCTACAAAGCAGCTCCCTAAAGCAGGGTTCACAGGTAAGCCACCAGATGGGTCTTGAATCTCTCCAAAGAAGACAACTCCACAACCTCCCCGGGGAGCCTGCTGCAGTGCTCCATCACCCTCACCAGGAAGAGGTTCTTTTGCATATTGATGCAGAACTTCCTGTGCTGCAGTTTACAGCCATTTCCCCCTGTCCCCACAGACCACTGAAAAGAGGTTGGACATACCCCCTTGTCTCTCACACTTAAGATACTTACTAACATTAGTAAGACCCCCACTCAGTCTACTTTTCTCAGGCTGAACAGACTGAACAGGTCACTCAACCTTTCCTCATAGCAGAGATGCTTCAGGCCCTTTATCATCTTTGTGGCCCTCCACTGGATTCCTTCCAGGATATCCCTGTCTTCTTTGTACTAGGGAGCCCAGAACTGAATACACTGCATCAGGTGAGGCCTGAGCAGTGCAAAGTGGGGGGGGGGGGGCAAGATCACCTCCCTTGTCCTGCTGGCCATGGTCTTTTAAACACACCATAGGAACCCACTGGCCTTCTTGGACACCAGGGCACATTGCTGGCTCATGGCCAACCAGTCATCCACAAAGAAAAAAAAATGAAAACAAAGAAATGAAAAAGAAAATAGGAAACATTCAAACGTCTTAAATAGAATGATTTAGCTGCAAGAAAAAGTCAACTTTTAAAACAAATTCTAACTAAAAAGTTCTACAGCTCCTCTTGAAGCCGACAGTGAGGGAGAGGAATGAGGGCAGAGATACTTCTTTTAGAAGCACATATTTCTGAAAAGACCTCAAAGACTGATGAAAGCTGTGTTATACACAGCGGGGAACAAAAACTGATACAAAAACAGAATCTAATTGTCCAGAAGGTCTATAAAAAAATAAAACCCACAGCTTTAGCATGAGTGAATCCTCATTGAAATGGACAAATGTGAAGCACCATCTACGTTTATCCTTTCTTCCCTCAAAATAAAAAGTACGCAAAATTCATTACAAACTTCTGGCATTTCACTATGATTGTGCGCTGAGGACAACACAGCACCTCACCTACCTGCCTTTCTCAGACAACCTGAGAGCACAAAACATACGCTGAATTAAACAAAATACATCAATCCTGCAGAAATACAGCTGTCCTCCACAGTCACAATGTTTGTCTTTTGATAAAGCTATAAATACACAATCAAATGGCACAATGAAATCTAACATTTCCGAACAGCTCTAGAGAGTATCAACTTGTAAACTGAACTAGGTTGTTAAAAGTAAAAAAAAAAAAACCAAACATTTACTAAAACATTACCTGTTTTAACTGCATCATGGTCAAGGTAAAAAGCGTTACAAATTGTTCTTCATACTGGCTTACACTGACACCTGCAATCTCTGTGAGGCACTTTAAAGAGACATTCCGAAACATGGGAACATTTAAGAACTATTGAGGAAAGAAAAGGAAGAGTTTTACAAAGGTGTTATATGGTACACATTTTGCAACTTTTAAACTGAAAAGCTGTCAGTAATTACATGCATACCTTGTATATTAGTGTGCTGATTAACTTAGTCTCAAATATATATCCCAGGGGAATCCAGTTCAGAAACCGTAGCAAAGTTTCCAAAGTCGCATGAACTAAAGGAGCATTTTGGGAGTTTTCCTGTGGGAACACATCAGTGAATATTACTAAGGCATAACTGGGAGGAGGTAGCGTGGAAGAGGTTAAAAAAAAACTAATACTTACCATCACGAACTGACACAGTTGAAATATCTGAGAGAACTCATTGCACATACTATAAAAAAAAATAAAATAAAATAAATGAAGCACTCCCAAGTTCCCAAAACAATCCAAACTGTATTAATCAAAGCGCCTGTGACCAGAACACAACTTCTGAATACCTACAAATCCTTGCTTCTTTACAAAAGACAATGCCAACAGCATTTTTTTTTTTGAAGAAGTCCAGTGGGATCAAGTGCATCCTCAACAACAAGTCTGCATGCAACACCAAGCTGAGTGGTACAGCTGACAAGCTGGAAGGAAGGGATGATATCCAGAAGGACATGCACAGGCTTGAGAGCTGGGCTCGTGCCAACCTCATGAAGTTCAGCAAGGCCAAGTGCAAGGTCCTGCACCTGGGTCAGGGCAATCCCAAGCACAGATACAGGTTGGGCAGAGAATGGCTTGGGAGCAGCCCTGAGGAGAAGGATTTGGGAGTGTCAGTTGATCAGAGATTCAGCATGAGCCAGCAACGTGTACCTGCAGCCCAGAAGGCCAGCTGCATCCTGGGCTGCGTCAAGAGAAATGAGACCAGCAGGTCAAGGGAGGTGGTTCTGCCTCTCTACTCTGCTCTCGTGAGACCCCATCTGAAGTACTGTGCCCTGTTACGGAGCCCCCAACACAAGAAGAACATGGAGTTGTTGGAGTGGGTCCAGAGAAGGGCCACAAAGATAATCAGAGGCTGGAGCACCTCCCAGCTGGGGCGCTTCAGCCTGGAGAAAAGAAGGCTTTAGGGGATCTTAGAGCGTACCTCAAGGGGGCCTACAATGAAAACTGGGGTAAGATTTTTTGTAAGGGCAAGTAGCAACAGCATAAGAAGCTAACGGCTTTCAACTGGAAAAGGATACATTTAGACTGGATACTAGAAAGAAATTCTTGACTGTGAGGGTGGCCAGACACTGAAACAGGATGCCCAGTCTGGTCACGGATGCCCCTTCCAAGGCTGGAGGCGTCCAAGGCCAGGCTGGATGGGGCTGCGAGCAATCTGGTCTAGAGGGAGCTGTCCAGGCCAACAGCAGGAGGGTTGCAACTAGATGACCTTAAGGGTCATTTCCAACACAAACTATTCTATGTTTCCATGACCACCATGGGATGAGGCAGTCGCAATAATGCAGAAATATACGTTGCATGGGAACTGCTGAGTCACAGCCTGAACCACTGATTGATCACCTGGGGAAAGGACAGGGTCAGCCCTGGGAGCACAGGTGAAGGCAATTCAGCCGTGCAACCGGAAGGGGTGGAACCTGGCTCCACCTCTCTTAGTCCCCACTTAAGGGCTGACTGCCACTGTAGAATAACCTCTGGTTGAAGACCCTTTCCTGCGAGTCTTGATCTTCAGAGATGGGTGAGCACATTTACTTTCCTGTAAAATATCTTCTTATCTCTGCTGGTCCCTTTGTAGTTACATTTTGTATTACCTCTCCACCTCGGTAGTCTTTCCAGTTGTAACATATGTATAAACTAAGTTTTGTCCCACCTAATTGTACTGCTTTAAAGGAGGAGAAAAGAAGAATCACATTTAAAAAAAAAAAAAAAAAATCAGTAAACCACTTAAATCTCAGCTATAAAATTAGATATATCGTTTTACTGAAAACCTCCTAGCATGACAAACTATTTGCCAGCAAGCCCAGTAAGCGCTATTTATTAGTTATATTAAATACTATACTTGCCTGTCTTTCAAATGCTTTGCTTTCACTTGAGTTATCTGGCCACTGGAGAAATCAAACACTTCTTCACTCAATAGCTTGAGGATCACCATGTTGTTCTGACAAAGGCTTTCACTAGTCCTGCTTGCTCCTACAATATCACTTATAAAAGTTGGCCAGTGCTTTGGCCATTCCTGTTTCAGAATCTGAAAAGTGAAACACCTGTATGTTAGGTACTAACGCAAAACCAAATGCTTCATGACAAGATTTAATGCTTCCTGAACTCCAACTTACCTGAACAAGAATCATGTTCAGTTTCCCAATATACACCTTCTCTTTCTGGAAAATGGAAAAGACAAGTCAAGTTACGCATAGTATTTACCTCCCCTTTTTTCCCCTGAGATAATTCACTTACTTCTACACATGTTGGATCAGATGACGTCTTGATAATTAGGCCAACAACATACTTTTTTATACCTGCAGAAGAATTGGAGAAATATTTTAACTGAGCCAGATATCACGAATAATGTTTCTGACTCAGGATTCTTGCCATATCGTTAAAACAA